GGGCGCGGCGGCGGCGGCCCGCAGGGGCCAAGCACGGGCCGCGGCCTGGGCGCGCTCTTGGAGGGCGCCCTCTGGCGGCGCTGCCCGGCCGCGGGCGGAGAAAGGTACCGCGCGGCCGAGCAAAGGCCACACCCCCGGGCGCCACGCCCCTTAAGCTGTGAGGCCGCCTTCTGACTCCGAGCCAAGCCCGGGGACCACACCCCTGGGTGAATGCCCACCCAAGAATTTCTGAGGTACCCTTGCTTGCTTTACGCCTCGTTCAAAGCTTCTGTCACTTGATTTCACCATGCTTTTCCACCAGCAATGATAGGCTCGTGGTGGAAGGCCCTGGTATGGCCCCAGCAACTCATTTTAAGGATGGTATCTGTTCTGAACTTACAGGTTACTATGACAGATAATGCCTGGTAAGGGTCTCCCTACCTCCGATTCCCACTTCCTGTATAAAGCCCCTTCTGCTCAATCCTCTCCAGAGCCTTGGCCGCTCTGGACGCTAGCTCCATGATCTACCCTGGGAAGGCCATGGAAATCTTAGATGTAGCTTGCAAGGCTCCAACATACCAGCTTCCTGCTCTTGAAAACCTTCCTACCTGAAGTCCTCAGCACTTTGTATACTCTTCTTTTCCATATTCGTCTCTCTACCTTCAACTAGCTGGCAGTTTCATTTTGGATTTTTTAAAAAGAATTATTTTACTGAACTTTTACTTATTAATTCACTTATCTTAATTTGACCAGAGAGACAGAGAGTGAGAGAGCAAGCCACCATGTCCGGGACTCAAACCGTGGTCAGCCATGTGGGAGTGTCCAGCACCTTAACCACCAAGCCACCTGCTGGTCCCTCATTTTGGAATTTTTAATTCCAAACCAGAAGAGGCCAGTGGAGGGTGGTGGGCAGGGGGCTACAGTGCAGGAATGGATCTATGCTGGCCCAAAGACAGGCCCGAGTGAGAATGCTGGGTGTGGTTGAGATGAAAATCCTCTAAGAAAGATGGGCTAGAAAATAATCACAAAGGAGGGCAAAGCCAGGCATGACTCTAAGACCTTGTATTACTGAGACCCTCTGGCATATGACGGGTCTCAGTCATAAGGGCCCTCTTGTCCCGGAGCCAGAGTCTAGAGTGAAAGACCAATGTGTGTGTGTCACCTGGAACCTCTGAGAGGTATCTCTTGATTCCCTTCCCACCAGACTGCAGATGCTGAATTCCAACAGAGGACATGCAGGGAGTACCCACTGTGGCACCTGGCAAAGGTGAGGCACTCAGTGAGCACTCATTTTCCCTCCCCTTCGTACACACTGACAGTGATTCAGAAACACACAGCAGAAAGGAAGACAATGCTTACAAATAAGTATCTTTTTGAATAAATAAAGGTATATTATATTTAAAAAGCAGTAAAATTCTTCATTGTTATTTCTTCTTTCTCTCATAATGTGGAAAGGCAGGTATAAAGATCTCTCGAAGGTTGCTCCAAAGCCCATGGGAGTGAATATTCTTGTAGACTTGGGGCTCTGCTGATGGGGACTGGGCCACAAGGGGGCAATGTTGGCACCAGGCCCAGTCGCCCTTGTACCACTCATTAGTAGTCTGGTTGGTGGCAGCCAGATACAGAGCAAAGCACATGTAGCCCCCGAGGAGGAAGCTCAGCACCAGGACAAAGCCCAGCATGAAGACAATCCTTGGAAAGGTCAGGAACAGGTACTGGGGGCAAAGAAACAGTACATTGTTAGGCAGTTAGACTGTGACATCTGTAGGGTCAGACCCAGCAGCCCTGGTCCTGTCCACAGCCCCCTCAGCTAACTGACATCAGTTCAAGTCTGACTCACTGAGCATAAATCAGAATCACAAACAGCATTGACAAAGAGCCCAGGAATAATCCTAGAGTTTATGATGAAATAAAGTGTTCGTAATGAGAAGAGAGAAAGGTTTACTCAGGAAATGGTGCTATGTCACTTAAATGTTTAGCATAGGCCTCAGTTCAGAATAAAATCTAGATGGACAGAGTGCACACGCCCTATAGAGAAAACCTCTCCAAAAAAAAAAAAAGAAAGAAAGAAAGAAAGAATTTTTGGGAACCAGCAGTTAGCGTAATGGCTATGTCGCTGGACTCCCACATAGTTGACCGCGGTTCGCGTCCCGGAGGCTTAAAACTCATGCCGGGCGCACGTGTGTGCATGCCCAAGATCCCGAGAGGAGAATGGAGGAGAAGGGATTGCGGTGTGACCATCCCCTCTGGGGGGGTGATTTCTCGCTTTTTGTCTCTATGTCTCTATCTGTCTGTCTGGCGAGCGCACGCGCCCTATAGCAAAAACCTCTTCAAAAAAAAAAAAAAAGAATAAAATCTAGATGAACAAAAGAGATCAATGTCTCTCTTAAAAGCAAGACAACCACAAAAAAACATGTACAAGGATGGGACCAGCAGTTAGCGTAATGGCTATGTTGCTGAACTCCCATGTAGTCGACTGCAGTTTGAGTCCCGGACCCGGTGGCTTAAACTCACACCAGGTGCATGTGCGTACATCAGTTCAAGTCTGACTCACTGAGCACAAAGATCCCACTGTGCCCAAGATCCCAAGTGGAGAATGGAGGAGAATGGAGGAGAAGTGATTGTGGCGTGGCCATCTCCCCGAGGGAGTGATTTCTCACTTTCTATCTCTATGTCTCTCTCTGTCTTTCTGACGAGTGCACATGCTCTATAGCAAAAACTGCTCCAAAAAAAAGAAAAAAAAAAGCATGTACAAGGATATTCATTGTAGCATTGATTTTTACAGCCCCTTCTACCAAAAACAAAACAAAACAAAACAAAAACAACAACAACAACAAAAAACAGGTTAAATGTCAATTCATAAAGGAGGTAAAAAGAAACTTTAGGATAGTCACACTATGAAAAAATAAAGAGAATTTAGGCCAGCAGGTGGTGTGGTTAAGGCACTAGACTCCCACATGGCCAACCATGGTTTGAGTCCCAGACCTAGCAGCTTGAGAAGCACACTGGGTACATGTGCGGGCATACCCAGAATCCAGAGAAGAGAATGGAGGAGGATAGATGGCGGCATGGCCATTGCCCCGGAGGTGATTTCTCATTTTCCCTCTCTCTTTCTCTCTCTGGTAATTATATACTTCCTATGGCAAAAACCTTAAAAAAAACAAACAGAAACCTAAAAAATAAATAAGTAATAAAGGCCGGTCCCACAGCCTGGTGGTTAACAAAGCCAGATCCCACATAACTGCAGATCCCACATAACTAACCTTAGTTCAAATCCCAGTCCCATAACTTGAAATACATACCGGGCACAAGTGGATGCATGCCCCCAAATTTCAATAGAATGGAGAAATGGAGGAGAAGGGATTGCATCATGATCATGTCCCACTGGGGAGTACTTTGTCCTTCTCTCTCTCTGACCAGTGCATGCACTCTCTGGCAATTGTTTTTATTTCCTTTTGGAGCGGTTTTTTCTTAATGGGTGCATGTGCTCGCCAGAAAGACAGAGAGAGAGACAGAGATAGAAAGTGAGAAATCACCCCCAAGCGGGATGGCCACACCGCAATCCTTCTCCTCCATTCTCCTCTCAGGATCTTGGGCACACACGCACACACCTGGCGTGAGTTTAAGCCACCAGGTCCGGGACTCAAACCGCAGTCAACTACATGGGAGTCCAGCGACATAGCCATTATGCAACTGCTGGTCCCCTTTAATTTTTTTTCTTTAAGAGAGGTTTTTGAAAGACCAGCAGATGGCGTAATGGTTACATTGCTGGACTCCCATGTAGTCGATGACTGCAGTTCGAGTCCTGGACTGGGTGGCTGAAACTCACACAGGATGTGTGTGTGCCCAAGATCCCGAGAGGAGAATGGAGGAGAAGGGATTGCAGTGTGGCCATCTCCCCTGGGGGGTGATTTCTCGCTTTCTATCTCTCTTTCTGGTGAGCACACAGGCCCTATAGCAAAAAACCTCTCAAAAAAAAAAAAAAGAAAAACCATAAAATGGTTTTGGGACCAGTAGATAGCATGAGAGTTACGCCACTGCGCCATGGAACTACCACTTACTAGACTATGGTTAGAATTCTGGACGCGGTGGCTTCAACTCACACCAGGCGCGTGTGCGTGCATGCCCAAAATCCTGAGAGGAGAATGGAGGAGAAGCGACTGTGGCGTGGCCATCCCCTCAGGGGGTGATTTCTCACTTTCTGTCTCACTGTCTCTCTCTGTCTCTCTGGGAAGCACATGCACCCCTTAGCAAAAATCTCTCAAAAAAAAAAAAAACAAAACAGGGCCCATCAGGTGGCATGGTGGTTAAAGGTGCCGGACTCCCACATGGCCAACCGCAGTTCCGAGTCCTGGACCTGGCGGCTTGCTTTCTCACTTTCCATATCTCTCTCTCTCATTCTATCCCTCTCTGGTCGAATTAAAATAAATAAATAAAATAATGAATTTCAATAAAATAATTCTTAAAAAAATACATAAACTAGTCTTATCATACAACCCAACAATTACACAAGATTTATTTTCATGCAGGTTCCATCCCCCCTGGGGGGTGCTTTCTCATTTTCCCTCTCTATGTCTCTCCAGTGAGCACATGCATTCTATAGCAAATTAAATAAATAAATAATTCAAGAAGAATTAGGCAGTTATTAAACAATTTTTTTGAATGACTGAACCTAGGGCTAGCAGGTGGCATGGTGGTTGAGGCACTGGACTCACCCGCGGTTCAAGTCCTGGATCTAGCAGCTCGCTTTCTCACTTTCCCTCTCTCTCTCTGTCTCTGATCAAATTAAAAAATAATAAATAAAATTAAATAAATGATTCTTTTTTAAAAAAAGACTGTACCTATGCTATTTCCTGTAAGGAGAAATTTCTTAGCAACTAAATGAGTTCTTTTTAAAGAGTAGCTTTAACCCTTGCATTATGATAAATTAATTTTTACAAGGGTGCCAAAGGGTTTTCCATGGGAAAGAACAGTCTTTAAAACAAATGGTGGTAGGGACCAGCAGGTGGCGTGGTGGTTAAGGTGCTGGACACTCCCACATGGTCGACCGAGGTTCGAGTACTGGACCTGGTGGCTTGCTTTCTCACCTTCCCTCTCTCTCTCTGTGTATCCCTCTCTGGTCAGATTAAAATAAATGAATAAATAAATAATTATTAAAAACAAACAAACAAACAAAAAACAAATGGTGGTAAGACAACCAGATATTCACATACTAAAAAATAAAGTTTAACTAGGGACCAGCAGTTGGTGTAATGGCCATGTCGCTGGACACCCCTGGAGTCCGACTGGGGTTCGAGTCCCGGATCTGGTGGCTTAAACTCACGCTGGGCCCTATAGCAAAAACCGCTCCTAAATAAATAAAGTTTAACTTTACCTTACATCATATATAAAAATTATCTCAAGGAGCCAACAGGTGGTATGGTGGTTAAAGCACTGGACTTGCACACGGCCAACAATGGTTCAAATTCAGGACCTGGTGGCTTGCTGTCTCACTTTCCCTCTCTTTCTGTCTTTCTCTGGTCAAATTAAAGTAGTAATAATAAATAAAATAATTCTTTAAAAAATTTTTTTAATTAACTCAAAATGGATCAAACAACTTTATGTAAAAGCTAAAACTGTTAGACTCTCATAAGAGGGTCAGCCCATGGTGTGGTGGTTAAAATAGCTGGATCCCACATAGCCAGTTCCATGTTTCAAATCCCAGACCTGACTGCTTGAAAAATCATGCCAGGCATTTGTATGTGCATGCTCAAAACCCTGAAGACAGAAAGACATAGAGAAGAAGAGATGGTAGCATGATCTTTCTCCATAGGAAGTGCTTTCTTACTCTCTCTGGCAAGTACACATGCCCTCTGGCAAAATTTAAAAAATATATACACTTAGAAGAAGCTGCTGGGACCAGCAGTTAGCATAATGGCTATGTTGCTGGACTCCCATGTAGTCAACTGTGGTTTGAATCCCGGACCCGGTGGCTTAAACTCACGCCGGGCGTGTGTGCGTGTGTGCCCAAGATCCCAAGAGGAGAATGGAAGAGAAGGGATTGAGACGTGGTCATCCCCTCTGAGGGGTGATTTCTCACTTTCTATCTCTCTGTCTCTCTCTGTCTGTCTGGCGAGCGCACGTGCCAAGAAAAACCTACAAAAAAAAAAAAAAAAAAAAGAAGAGAGAGCTGCAAAGACTGGATTAGGCAAGGTGGTGATCTTAGACATAATACCAAAGAATAAACAACAAGGAAATAGACAAATTAAACTTAATCAAAATATAGAACTCCTGGCACCAGAGGATGGCGTGGTGGTTAAGGTGCTGGACACTCCTACATGGTCGACCACGGTTTGAGTCCCAGACAGACCTGGTGGCTTGCTTTCTCACTTTTTCTCTCTCTCTCTGTGTCTCTCTCTGGTAAAATTTAAAAATAAATAAATAAATAAGTGAATAAATAAATAAAATTAAAATAAATAATTCTTTTTAAATATATGTGTGTGTGTGTGTGTGTGTGTGTGTGTATCCTGGCCCAGTCCTGGTGACAAAGGCAGTAGTGAACTGCTAGACAATGCTGGAGCCATACAGGAGGCCTAGGTTTGGATCACAGGTCAACCTGAACATGCCAGGTGTATCCATGATCCTAGTTGGCTAGCTGAAAATCTGGAGATGGGGATTGCAGCATGGCAACACTTTGTGGAGGGTACTTCTCTCTTTTTCTATGAAAAAAAGAATAAAAATAAAAAACTTTAAAAAATTTTAAGGACTGGCAGATGGCATAGTGGTTAAAAGTGATGGACTCCCACGTAGCCAGCCACAGCTCCAGTCCCAGACCTGGCAGCTTCCTTTCTCTCCTCCCCCCCCAATCTGTCCTTCTCTGATAAAATTAAAATAAATAAATAAAGTTAAATTGAAAAAAGAACTTTTTAAAAATTTAACTTTGTTTATTTATTTATTTATTTATTTTATTTGACCAGAAAGGAACAGAGCGAGAGACCAAGTGAAAGTGAGAAAGCAAGCTGCCAGGTCCAGGATTCAAACTGTGGTCGGCCACATGGGAGTCCAGTGCCCCTAACCACCGACCAGCCCCCCAAAAAACATTTTAAAAGATGGGCATGGTAGCTAATATCTGTAATCCCAGCTACTCAGGAGGGTAAGGCAGAAGGATCATGATACAAAGAAATTCTGTCTAAAATACCACACACACACACAAATAAAAAATACAAGCTCTATGATTTCACTGGGAAAATAAATGTCCTGTTTCCAATTCTGAAACCTAAAGTTAGAAACCTACAGCCCACAGCATAATTACCTGAATAAGAAAGACCGTGTCCATAACCTGGAAGCGTCCGAAGTCATCGATATAAATCTCTTGGTATAGATCAGACACCACCGCCAAGTGGACTAGAAACGCAGTGCTCACAATGGCCATGGTGGCAGCTGAGGCTGTCAACGTGAAGAGGTAGATGAGGAAGTACCTGGTATTCCATGCCCCAATGCAGTTGTTCACCCAAACACAGTGATGGTCAAAACGGTGCACACACCAGTTACATACACCTGTAGAGAAACAATGAATTGGTCCTGGTTGGTCCTTGGTGACACAAGGATACTGTGTACACCTACTGGGAGTTTTATAAACTGACTGCTGGCAATTTGAGTATGGAAAAATGGCAGCTGTGGTCAACAAGCTTTTAGAACTTCAGAGCCTAGTAGATATGCAGCTCACGTGATATTTCTGTTAGTCTATAGTCTTGGGTACGCCCTAAAAGAAAAAGAGATTTTTGCTATAGGGCATGTGCACTCACCAGACAGACAGAGACAGAGAGACAGAAAGCGAGAAATCACCCCCCAGGGGGGATGGCCACACCGCAATCCCTTCTCCTCCTTTCTCCTCTCTGGATCTTGGGCACACATGCACACACGCCTGGCGTGAGTTTAAGCTACCGGGTCTGGGACTCGAACTGTGGTTGACTACATGGGAATCCAGCGACATAGCCATTATGCTAACTGCTGGTCCTAAGAAAA